CGATAAACATCCAGTACTCCGCAAGAGCACTTACCTCGCGGTAAACCCATCAGCGGACGCCACAACTATCAGTTCGCCTATAGGCAGTTTGAATACCAGCTGGCGAGTTTCTTCCTTCCAACCACCCTTGACCTACATCACGGTCAGGAGAACATAGACTTTGAGCCTCCTATCGAACCATTCTCGAGCAAGGCCAAGAGGAGGAAGACTACGCTCACCCTGGAGCAGCTGGCGAAGGTGAGAGCTCAGGCGACGTGGAGAACCTCATGGACTACAAAACCGGAGAGTTCCACTTCAAGAACCACGAGATCAAAGGGAGGAAGTCAGCGGCTAACACCGCACTTGAGAGCATCAACACGCTAAAAGCCTGGAACCAGTTCCAGGACAAAGCGATCAAGTCCCTCCTCAAGACCGTGAAGAAGATGGGGAAGCGCATCAAGCAGCTGACCAAGGGCAAGAGCAAGTCTCCCAGCCACGACTCCGACAACACTCCTCCGATACACCTCGGTTCCTATCATGACGACGACGTAGTCGAGGACTCCGAAGAAGGTGATGAAGGCTCCTCCAAATTCCAAACGGCAGAGACCTCAACCAGGAAGAGGAAGGCCTCGAAGTCACCTCAAGCGAGCACAAAGGGTGATTCCACATCATCCTCCTCCTCAGATTCTTTCTGAGAGGTATGAACCCCAACCATGTAAATAGCATGCATTTTTTTTTTCTTATTTTCACTTATCTTTTGCTTTGATTCTCTCTTCCGCCTTCTTATCACACAAGGGACCGTGTGAACTAAGTGTGGGGGAGAGGGTCAATGGTATTTGACGAAGTGCTTTATGTTCTTATTTTATATTTTGCATAACCTTGAGTCTCATGCATTTGCATCTTTAGAAAATCATGTAAAATTTTCATTTTTGCATTGCTAAAAAAAAAAACCAAAAACAGAGCATGTAGTTAAGATCATTTCATTTGCATCTGAGCAATGTTTGTTGAGCTGATTGATTGAGTTGCGGAATTGCTTCAGTGCCCTAGTTCTAAGTTGTTTGGCGCTTTTGATAGTTCTTGAAGTTAAGGTAGAACCGCATCATCAAAAAGCATCATGACTGTCTAGTAAAACCGAATGCATTGCTGTGATTTGAATCTGCTCCTTGTCTAAGTGAAACCTGAACCTGAACTCAATTATCATGCTCATGCTTGTTAAGTTCAACTCGTGGATTATACATACTTGAATCATCTTTGCATTATTGTTCATCCTTCTTTGTTGATTCAAGTAGAACTCCCTGCCCTTAACCAACCCTTCCTTTCAAACCAAATGTTGTTCTTGTGTGTTGTGAGGCCTTTTTGAAAAAGCTTGGCATAAAGTGTTAGGTCTTGAGCCGACAAGGATAGGTGATCATGTAGATTCTGGTCCACGCTTTTTGGGCCAGACTAGGTTAGGACTTGGGTTTGGGAATGTCTTGGGGTTGGGATTTCAAAAAGAAAAAGAAAGAAAGAGCTTGTGAGCAAAAAGAAAAGAAGCGTTTTAACTGAGGTAGATTAAGAGCTTGGTCTGTGAGTTTAAGAAAGCCCCCATCAGAAAATAAAAAAAAAAAAAAAAAAAAAGAAAAAAAGAGTTTCAAAAGGAAAAGATGGGTTAGGGCAAGAGTTTAGACCAAGTCTCTCGAGTTTATCTTTCAAAAAGCCTTAGAAAAATTCGCTAAAAGTTTCAAAAAGCTCTAAGAAAAGGAAAACCCAAAGGGAAAGGGTAGAAATAGGAAGTTTCGGATTTGAGAGTCACCAAAAGGTACTTGGGGTTTCGGGTAGATGATCATTTGTCCTTGTACCTCCCAATTGGTTCTCGCCTTTAGCATTATGCCGAAGCTGTTTCACTTCTTCTTGAGAGAACCCTTCCTTTGTCATTTGACATGAGCTTGCATTGTGATTTGCTCTCTCTCTTTCCACTGGCCAAACGAGTTAACTTGACTTGCATGTGTTTTGATTCACTGTTTTGAGCTTTAATGAATGTTAAAAGGAGTAGAGGATTTGAATGCATGTTTAGGTTGAGCTGGTTGTCATTGATTGTATTATGAAGGTGCGGCTAAGATTTTTGAAGTAGAGAACATCTTTTGCGCTTTAGACCTTGGAACTAGGTTGTTGATTCAATTTCTCTTCTCGGCTTTCACTTGACTCTATTGCTCAGAGAACACTCTTATGCTTGGTTGATGTTTGCTTGAGGGCAAGCAAAGACTAAGTGTGGGGGTGTTGATGTACTCAACATTTGCATACATTTAGCCTCTCATACTGCATAGTTCTGTGTATAATTGAGTCCCATTTCATAACATTTAGTGTAGCTTTAGTCTACTTAGGATCATTTAGCCTTTAGGATAGCATTTTGCATTTCCATTGCATTTGGGGTGCATTTATCAGGTATTCGGAGCTTATGGCGAAGGAGGGACCGGAGGTGATGATCGGAGATGGACCAGAAGGAGATCGGAGTAATCGGATGGCAAAACAAGCAAGACGGAACAGAGCCTTGAGCAAAAGGAAACAGAGTGCTTGAGGAAGTTGCTCAAGCTGCGCGCATCTGTGAAGTCAAAGCAAAAACGTTGACCAAAGGATACACTTTTCCCTTCTCTATATAAACCTTTAAGACCTAATTTTAGGCAATCTTTATCTTGTAACCAGTTTCTCTCCAAGAAAAACAGTTTGTTCTTGGAGATCTTTTGTAAGCTTTTACTTTGAATCTTTTAAGTTTAAGAAGTACTTAGTTTGCTAATCTTGTCTTAATGATGATTTCTAGCTTTCTTTACCTCTTTGCTTTCGGTTCGAGTATGAGTAGCGAGTAGTTCTTTAGAGGTTTCGAGGGTGAGATTAGGAAAGGTCAGAGCTTTAGCTTCCTGTTAACCTCTTCCTTAATCTCCCTTGACCAGCTTTTCTTTAGCTAGAGCTTTATATCTCGGCTTCTTCTTGATCACTTGAAGTCGCGAATCTAGGCTAGTACACCTAGAAGGTGTTTGCGTTAATGCCTAAGAGAGCTAGCGATAGAGAGAAACATTCCCAACCTAAGAGATTGGTTGTTGGGATGTATCTTGTGCACTTTTAGACTAGATCTTGTGAAAGCTTGTAACTTTGAGTCCACTAGCGAGAGCTAGCTTTGGATTCTCAGCTTGCAAAGCGATCTGACCACGAGAGTGGCAGATTTACCCAAAGTCTAAGCACAAAGCTTGAGTCTTGGTGTGTTGAGAAAGGATGGTTGAGCTCGTTTGATCCCAACTAAGTCTCACCCAAGACGCCTCCTTTATCTTTTATTGTCAAAGTTTAAATCTTTATTTCATCTTGTTAGCTTAAAGCATAGATCTTTACAAAACAAAACCCAATCTTTTATCAAACTTGATCTTTGCCTTTTCTTTATTTCGATAGTTTAAATCTCCACTTGGATTGACATCTCAAGTACTACAATGACATGAGTGGTATGGATTGAGAGTAGTTGATACAAAAATCCTACTTATCAGTCCTCTATTTATCCTCAATAGACGAACCGCCAAACCCTACAAGGTTGTGTCTTGGTGATTACTCCAAATCTCCAAAGGAATATTTCCTTTCCTTATTTTTCTCTAAGAATAGGAAATATCCCTTTTGTCTTGATAATTCCAAATCTCCTCATCCAGCTCAGCTACCGCCTCTTCTGGATTCGTCCTTAACCGCTACAAGCTCGCATCCAGCTCAGCATCAATCCTTTAGCTCCGTTAAGCTCCGCTTAGCTCCGCTACATGTCCGTCCATACGCCCTGATGCACTTCCTGACTGATTCACGATATGCGTCAAACCAGTTGCATCTTCAATCTCCCCCTTTTTAGCTTTGTGTCTTACAAGCACCTGTAAAACTCAAATCCACAATGCACATACCAGAGATAACCAGAAAACAGGATGTTCTGAATACTTCATCATTAGACATTTAAAATATTCAAATCATTCAGAACATGAGAGTTATGAGTTTAAACATCCAAAACACAAAAGAGTTAGATTCAAAGTAAAACTCTCAACTCCCCAGAATTCTAGAACCGAAAACTACTAAAAATAAAAGAGCAAAAACAAAACAAAAGCTTTGCTCCCCCACAATTCTAGCATAAGTCCTAGTTTTCTTCCCCTGGTTCATCTTGTTCTCCCCCTGCTTGTGAGACCACACAAGTTAAAAACACAAGATGAAAATCATATGGAACAAGATTGTGCAGAAAGTTAACTTACCTTGTAGGTTCGTGAGAAGTCCCTGAACCGTCTCTGTGAAGGTTGGAGAGTGTAGACGATGTCCTGAAGCACCTGAATCGCCGCTGTGGGTTGGAGCGGAGGAGTAGGAAAGCGAACAGAGCCAAGATCCACAGAAATGAAGCCCTCTGATGTAGACTCTGTTGCAGGCGCTGATGTAGATCGGACCTGAGATGTAGAAGATTGTCCCTGCTTCATCTTCTTCTTCTTCTCATTTTCTCTCTTTATGTACTCTAGCCCAGAGCGCTTGTCCTTCTGATAGTGGAGAGGACGAACGAGTACATCATCGTCAAGAAGAGAGAGCGGGGATTGCATCTGAAGAACTCCATAGATGATTCGTGGAAACAACAACCAACGAGAGTCTCTGTGTTGAAGTTTGCTCATCCCCATCACTTGATCATACACCAACTGACCAAAATCAACTCGGACTCCTGTAGATAGCTTGTAAATAAGCTTAGCTCGCGGCTCAGACACATGGTTTCTATGAGTTTATGGCATCCATTTGTGTGACCCAACAATGACCAAGGATGCATAACATGGAGTCATCCCAATCGAATAGATCTCAGCCCACTCTGCCATCTCATTCGGAGTAAACAACTGAGCCAATGTCTTTAGACTGACAGAGTCTGCGTCTGCCTCAAGCTTTCTCTCGTCACTCAGTGGCTGCATATTGAGAAACTCATTGACAATCACAGGTGAAAACTCATAGTTGTAACCTCTGATCGACACCTGAACACTATCATCTCCTGGTTGAGGCAATGCAGCATAGAATTCAACAATTTGCGAGCTAACATAGCTTCCCAAACCCTCAACCATAGACTTAAACCCTCCTTTGATGATAATATCAGGATATCCCCACTTAGCTTCAGCCTTAAGATCTACAATTCGCTCATCCAAGATTCCACGAGAGCTAAAGATCGCAAACCTGTCCAGAGATGACGGTTTCTTGGACTTAGAACCCTCGGTTTGCTTCGCCTTCCCTTTAGCACGTGAACTAGCTCGAGCTGGAGCTTTCTTCACCGGAGTAGATCGTGTTTTGGAGGCTTTTGGCTTTGGAGATGGAGACGATTCGGGAACTTTCTCCTTCAGCTTCTTGGATGGTGGCGGAAGACCGGTTGAACGAAGTACTTTACGCTTTCGAGTTATCAAGCAAGCGTCTTCATCACTCTTTTCTTCATCGGAGAGTGCATATCGAGTTTGATCGGGAAATGAAGAAGGAGTCTTCGGCGTTGTCTCAATTGGAGGACCAAGCGACTTCTCCTTCTGCTCAGAACAGAAAGGTTGCCCCGGGTTAAGTTCGTCGAGAGCCTCATCACCGTGAGGTTGAGAAGCGACCGGAATTGAATCTCTCGGAGGAACCGAAGCGTCGGGCTCCAAGAACTCTGTTGCGGCGGCGTTGAGCTCGTCTCGGACGGTCACCACCGGAGGTGTAGTGACGGCTGCTTCAGTCGCTCCATCAGTTGGTGGTGGAGCTAGGGTTTCGGCGGAGTTTGGGATTGGCACCGTCGTCTGTGCATCTCGAGGAATCTCCGGGTCCTCGGGTTTCTCCGCCGTGGCTTCTTCATCCGCCATCGGTTCATCTTCCGCCGTAGCGAAAGACTCGGCCTCGACTACTCCTTCAAATAGAACCATCTCCAAACATGGTTCAACTCCTCCATCGGCGGCTTCGTCGAGCATCGTGATATTCGGCGGCAGAGGTTCTTGGATCGTCGGTTCGGAGGCTGGTTCGTCGATTTGGACCGGCGTGGAGGCGGATCCGTCGATGTGCGTCTCGGAATGGGTTTGACTTGGACGGATTATGCCTCGTCGAGTCGCGGTCACCATTGAATCAAGACTGACTCCTTCAATCGATTTGGGAAAAAAAATTAGGGTTTTCCAATGGAGACCTTTGACTTTCCTTTTTCGCTTCTTCTTCCCTTTTATACCTCACTGCATTGAGAAGCAACTTAAACCAAACCGGAATTAGGAATAAATCATAAATCAACCGGATTAATTGGTTTAGAGATCCAAAGCTCCTGCTTGACTTCCTGCAACATTCAGCACCAATATCAGCAGTACAACACTTAGGATAAAATTGTGACATCCACATAAGATTCGATTCAAATAGAATCCAAACAAGCAATACCATCCCATGTGTCACATCTTTTCAGCTTAAAAACATTTTTACTCAGTTTATCTCAAATTAAATACCTTTCATTTTAGCGAAGGAGACATTGACTGAGTCGGCACTTGCATCAGGATGTATTACAAATTCTCAACAGATTCATAGCGCTTGGCCATCCTGATTCCAACCTGCAGCTTTCACTTTGTCATACCCAGATCATATCACCACCTCTAATTCCAATGATGTGCAAAGTGAAACTCTTTATTTTGTTCAAGGCAGAACATGTGATCATTCTCTGTCGTTGGATGTTGTTCTTGTGAAACATTACCCTTCGAGAAAGCTCATGGACCAACTCAGCCTTGTGAGCTATTGTTGTCAGTCCATCCCCTTTCCAATTAAGCTCTTAGTTTCTATCGTCAGACTTTGTTCTTGTGAAACATTGTCTTTCGAGAAATCACATGAACCAACTTAGCCTTGTGAGCTATTGTTGTCAGTTCATCACATTTCCTGTTATGCTCATTGAATCACTTTTTGGTTCTTGAAGCAGCAAGCCATCTCCATCATATTGCATTCATTTGGAGTTGGCTCAGCTGCTTTTTGACCTTGAACATGCTTTTAGAATCACTTACTTTTCACTTTTCTTATGTTGAGGTGACATGACGGCATGACAAAGTAGCTGATCCTCATTGGCACCTTTGACTCCAAACAAAATCTGAACTTGTTATACACCCCGAGCCAGTGCCTGTATCAGCCCCTGCATCATTCAAAACCACTTGTGCAAATTCCAATGGAATTTCTTAAGGTGACAAAACGGTTAAAGTCCAATGGTTTTGTGAATAAATCAGCGAGCTGTAAATCTGTGACAACATGTTCAAGTACTACCTGTTTTTCTTCCACCAATTCACGAACAAAGTGGTGTCTTATGTCAATGTGCTTAGTCCTTGAGTGCTGCACCGGATTCTTTGCGCTTTTGTTGTCACAGTAGACCAAGAAGGGTCCAGACTCCATCCCATAATCGGCTGACATCTGTCTCATCCATATAAGCTGTGTGCAGCAGCTTCCCAATGCAATGTACTCAGCCTCTGCAGTAGATAGTGACACAGAATTCTGCTTCTTGCTAAGCCAAGCAATAAGATTGTTCCCAAGGAAGAAACAACCTCCACTTGTGCTTTTCCGATCATCTGCGCATCCTGCCCAATCGGCGTCACAATATCCAGCAAGATTTCTGTTGGATCCTTTGGAGTAAAAGATCCCCAGATTGACAGTTCCCTTGACATACCTCAAGATCTTCTTCACCGCTTGAAGATGGGACTGTTTTGGTTTGGCCTGATAGCGAGCACACACACCAACGCTGAAGCTTAAGTCAGGTCCGACTTGCTGTAAGGTAAAGCAAGCTTCCAATCATTCCTCTGTAAGCTTCACATCAACGTCTTCTCCTTGTTCATCCTTTCCAATCTTTGTCGTGGTGCTCATTGGTGTTCTTGCCTCCTTGCATTTGTCAAGACCAAACTTCACCAGTAGATTCTTGGCATAAGTGTTTTGAGAAATAAAGATTCCTTTCTCAGTCTGATTCACTTGAAGTCCAAGAAAGTACTTCAACTCTCCCACCATGCTCATCTTGAACTCCTTAGTCATACTCTTCACAAAGTTTTCCACCAGCTTCTCTGAAGTTCCTCCAAAGATGATATCATCTACATAGATCTGCACCATCATCATCTCATTCTTCTTCTCAAGAGTGAACAATGTTTTGTCCACAGTTCCTCTGACGTAGCCTGTGTCAATCAGAAACTTCGTCAGATGCTCATACCAAGCTCTTGGAGCCTGTTTCAGTCCGTAGAGAGCTTTCTTGAGCTTACACACATACTCAGGATGTGTAGGATCTTCAAACCCTTCGGTTGGGCTACATATACTTCCTCTTGTAGAATGCCATTCAAGAAAGCACTCTTCACATCCATCTGATACACCTTGAAGTTCAATATGCATGCCATCCCTAGAAATAGTCTGATAGACTCAAGACGAGCTACAGGGGCAAAGGTTTCATCAAAGTCGACTCCTTCAACTTGTGAGTAACCTTGCGTAACAAGTCTTGACTTGTTTCGTACAATACTTCCAGCATCATCTGTCTTGTTCTTGAAGATCCACTTTGTACCAACCACGTTCACACCATCAGGTAGGGCACTACTCCCATACATCGTTTCTCACGAACTCCTCTAGTTCCTCTTCCATGGAGATGATCCAATCTGCATCTTCCAGTGCTTCACGATGATTTCGTGGTTCTATGGCAGAGACAAAGCATTCAAATTGGATAATTGCCATGCTGACCATCTGCTTATAGTTCATCTTGATTCCTCTCGTCCTTCGTGGCTCAGTGATGTCTCCAATCAAATCATTCGAGGAATGTGATGGCGGGTTTAGATTGCCTCAAATTTTCACAATTTATAAACCCAACTAATGAGCTGCAAGTGCACAGCCGTGTTGTAGTCGGGGTCGAACACGAGGAGGAAGTGTTCTCACTTAACACCTTGTGAGATTGGTTTGTAGCTAGCTCGCAATATGAGGTGGTTTTGGACCTAGAATGAGAAAACAAAACAAAAGAAATGTGAGTGAGTTTGTAAACAATTTAAAACAAGAGTTAGGCAAAGGACAATCATATGGAGCAATGATGAAAAGATAGTTGCATGGGATGTGTGTAGAGCCGTCTTGAACATGAATCACTAGTGTATGGTCTTTCCACTGTCGTGGCTCCAACCACTATGTTTAAAACAACCTAATATACTCAGCTTTCGTTGGCTATTAGAATTGCAAACATGCATTAAAGGTTCAAGATTCAATTGTTCACAATAAACCATAACTCAGCTTTCGTTGGCTATGATCTATTGCTCACCAAATACTAGTTTTGAGATCTAGATTCAGCACTGTCGTGGTTCTATTTCTCTAAGATCAGATTACTAGATGTACGGTAGAGTAATCATGCATTAAGCTCAAGTAAAGGTGAAGATCCATAAGATAAATCCCAATAAGTTGCAACACAATCAAATCATCACGGCCACCATAGATCTCCTCGGCCTAACTAAGAGATCTACTCGGCCATGATGCAAACAAGCAAGCAAAGCATGATTGTAAACATTATGCAAGTATTAAAAGAGATAAAGGGATGAAGAAAGCTTCTCTATTGATGAACAAAGTCGGATTCTCCCTTGAAAACTCTTAAGATCAAGTTTATAGAAATGGAAACAATGAAAAAGAAAGAACAAGAGTTGAGCGGCGCCTCCTTCTTCTTGGACGATCTCCTAGGGCTTCTCTTCTCTCTCTCTCTCACACGTAACTCTTTGATAATTTTCTGGACTCGATCGGATTCTCTTCTTCAGCGGCTAAAAACATGTATATATGGGCGAAGTCGCGTAGGGTTTTCTTCATGCCGGAAAAGGAAAGTTTCCCATGCGCGAGCCTTCTTCTCCACGTCGTGTATGGGCCGACATTGTACCAAGGAAAGCTCCAAACATTAGCCAGGCCTCTTCTCTATTCGATCAAGGCCTTTGGCGCTGCTGCTCGGGCCATTAGACACTCCAAATCCTCCATGGGCTTCGTTTACTCGCTTACCGGACATGTCTCGGTAGAAAATAAGTCTAGGCCTCATAGTTGATCCAAATGGCTTCATTCCACTTCGACGTGATGCATGACTCAAGTATCTATCTTTCCATATCAAGATCGTAACTTTTGGACGTCGGGAACTCCTCCGCGCGCGGCCAAACTTCCGAAGCTTCGTTCTGCGCGCAGCGAGAACTAACACTTGGAGATAAAATGATCTTCTTGACTTGGAAACTTGCATGGATCTTGATTTAGGGCTCTTTTACTCCTTTTTGCATCCTTTTTGATTATTTCACCTACAAAGACTTCAAATCCCACAAATACAAGAAAACTACCTCTAAAGGCAAAGAATCTTGCAAAAACCGTTTGAAAACATAGGTAAATATATAGTAAAATCATGTAAAATATGGTGATATCAGAATGATTTCTGTGAACTTGTGTCAGTGGGAGACCTACATCAGGAACTGTGTCAGAGACTTCCTCATGAACCTTTTCTTCTTCTTCACGAACCTCCTCTGCTTCTGTTTCTGCTTCGCTGACTTCTGGTTCATGAAACACTGGAGAGTCTCCCATAGCTGCAATTGATCGATCATCAAAAACAACATTGACTGACTCCATAATCATCTTGGATCGTAGATTGAAGACTCTGTAGGCTGAGCTATTGCCTGAATAACCCAGAAATATGCCTTCATCACTTCTTGAGTCGAACTTTCCAAGTTGATCCTTGTCATTCAGAATGAAGCACCTGCATCCAAAGACACGAAAATAACTTAAGTTAGGTGTCTTCCCTTTCCACAATTCATAAGGAGTTTTGAGTAAAGCCTTTCTCATGTAAACACGGTTGATGATGTAGCATGCGGTGTTGATTGCTTCAGCCCAAAACTTCACAGGGATGTTTCCTCCATGAATCATTGCTCGTGCCATTTGTTGAAGTGTTCTGTTCTTTCGCTCAACTACTCCATTCATCTGTAGTGTTCTTGGTGCCGAAAATTGGTGAGCTATGCCTTGTTCATTGCAGAACTTAGTCATGACCTCATTCTGAAATTCTTCCCCATGATCACTGCGTATGCGCTTGAGACTTCCTTTCTCTGTGATAACTTGAAGAGCCCAAATCTTGAAACTTGCCATGGTGTCAGATTTGTCACGAATGAAACGGACCCAAGTGTATCGCGAGTAATCATCCACTAGAACAAAGACATAGCGCTTGATGATAGGATTTTAGTGGATGTGATAAGATATGAGGTGGAATGCAAACAGGGTGAATAAAGATGAATGGTATGGTGCAATCACAATCAATCAATTCCTCTTAACCATCATAGTCATGTAGTATAAGAGGTTATCAATCCAAAATGGGAAACTTGTCACTCTATGAGAATATGAAACAACAAGAAAGTCAAGCAAGCAGTAATAGATTTGGGTAACACTAACAACCTAAATGAAAGAAATGAAATGCATAAAAGTAAATAAAGCAGTAAGCAACAGCTCGACCAAGGACTCGAGTCGAGTGGAACAGAGTACCAGCTCGATCGAGTTTAGGGTCGAGTTGAAGTAAAAAGCTAAAGGACGACTTTAACAAGCTAAAGAGAGAATTAGGGTTCAAGACAGGGTTTTGCAATCAAGGAATCTACACTTAATCAATCTGCTCTTAAAACTCCTTGTATCAAGGCTTCTCTTGATATTGGGCTTCTCAATGCCTAGCCAACCCTTTCCCAAGGTGAAGGCTATCAACCAAGGAATGATCTCAGAAACAGGGGGTTAGCCAGTGAGAATCAAGCCTTGGAGGCCATAGGATCATTGCCCAAACTAATCCATCCAACCCCTTAGACCTCTATTTCTAGAGCAAGAGATATTGGAGCTCTTAGTGGATCTTTTCCAGCGATTTGCCATCACTTCCGTGTGGAGAATCGCCTAAGGACTTACAAGCCAGGGGTAGTGGTCATGTAGCCTTAAGATCTATCCAAAAGAGAGAGAATCTAGATTAAGACCATAAGCTAGAAGGATTAAGCATATGAAACCTCTAATCTATCCCATCTCAAACCCTAATGGGTAACTACTCACTACACATGAATGTAAACACAAGCAAATGCAATAAAAGAGACATCATAAGAAAGAGGAGATGAAATTAAACAACTTTTATTGAAATAAGCAAGTGCAAATACAAAGAGATTATCCAGGATCTAGGATTCAAGAAGCAAGAGCTTCAAGAACACAAAGATGGGATTAGAGCTCTCAAAAGTAAAAGACAATAAATTAAAAGAAACTAAAACAAAAGTAATCTAAAGCTTGGTGGTTTTTTCGTGGCTTTTAGCCTTAAATAAAGAGGATTAGGTTTAGGGTCAAAGGAAAGTCAAGGGGGAAGCAACATTTTTCGGGTTTGACTGTTGACTTCTCAGCTCGATCGAGTTGAAGCTTGGCCGGTCGAGTTGAGGAACTCGACCGGTTGGTCGAGTAGTGGTCGAGCTGGTCTTCAAGATGGCTTCTCCCTTCTTCCTTTGCGTATCCAGTTGAGCTGCGTCCATGTGCCAAGTCCCTCCATGCTCCTCGTCCCATATGCTCCAGAATGCTCCAAAAGACCTATTTCAAAGGACCAAACATGCATATGTATGCAAATGCAACCTAAAACTAACATGAATGCATAAGAAGAGAAAAGGAACAAGATATGATGCAAATGGATGCTAAAACTATGCAAAAGATGCATAAAAGATGTACTAAAACTATGTAAAATGCAAGTACATCAACACCCCCAAACTTGAACTTTGCTTGCCCTCAAGCAAACAAATAGAACAAGAAAGAGATGAGGTTTGAAAACAAGCTGATTCAACACTTAAAAACATGTCCTCAAAAGCGATTTGCTAAATGTCCAACTTAGAGATTCTAGAATGCAACAAGGTGAGAGATATTCATTAAGATTTAACCATGCTTATCAACATCAATCCCACTTCACAGTCACTCAAACAATGCATTCAAATCAGCAAATCCCTTTAACATTCATTAAGCAAAAACAGTGAACCAAAAACATGCAAGATCAATCAACTCATTTGGTTTCAAGGGTTTATGGGTTAAGAGACAAAGAGGGTCTCTTTTGTATGGTGGTTTAGTAACAGGGATCTCTCAAGAAAGTGGCTTTGCTTTGGCAGAAGGCTAAGTGTTAGAACCAAAGATGATGCAAGAACAGCAGCTCGAGCCGTCTAATCCTAACTCGATCGAGTTCAACACTTAGAGCTTTTTAGAACAAAATCCTAACTACCCTTTTTGGCATTTCGCCTTTGAAACTGAGGAGCTTTGCTCACTTTTCTTTTAAGAACTTCCTAGGGAGAGGCTTCTTGAGGTAACATCTAGCGGTTTGGGATTTTCTAAACACTTAGGGAACTTTTCTTTCCTTTTTGACACTTGAGGCTTTGCCTTCTTTTCATTCTACTTAGAACCCTTTTTACTTCCTTTTTTAACTTCCCAAACCTTTACTAGACCCTTTTTAAACACTGCCAACTCCCTGGATTTTTTGGATTTTTTAAATTTTATTTTTTTTGGTTTTTCACCCAACTTCGAGAAACTCGAAAACAAGGTTTCATCTCTTGCCCCCCAAACTTAAATCACACAGTCCCTTGTGTGAGAGAAATTTAGTGAAAGATTCAAGAGGGCAAAACCAAGAAAAACAAAAACAAAGAAAATATGAAATGGTATATACAAGGGTTGGTGTTTGATACCTCAGTGCCCCCCAAAGAACTGGGAGGCAAAGTCGTGGTCTGGAGATGGTAGACGGCCGTCAGGGCACTCCACTCGACTGGGGTTTCGCCTCACTCGATCGAGCTTGCGGCTCCTCTTCTTCCTCTTCTTCATCCTCGAAGTGGGTGTGGCTTCCTTGGCCTTGGTGGAGCTGGCTTGCTCGTACTGTCCATAGGGGTTCCATCTACTGGGAGGTCTCCTGGTAAGGCGTTGATCGTATTCAAATCCCGGTTCTCAAACAGGGCTCCTCCAGGTCAACTCGACCCTCAGCTCGATCGAGTTGAGTTTCCTCTGTTTGGACTCGATCGAGTCCGGTGGTCGAGCTGGAGCGTCTGGCCTTAGAGCTCTTCCTCCTTCTCTGTGAGTTGTCTTCCCTTCCCTTGGCTCGAAAGAAGAGGCTCTGTGAGGTTCTTGGGTGGAAGCCTCCTTTGAGTGGTGAGGAGTGATCTACTCCTAGGGAATGTGGGGCCATGGGTGCCTTCTTCTTCTTGCTTGAAGAACCAGAAACTTTCTTCTCCAAACTCTTGATCTTGCTCACCATCTTGTCCATGGACTTTTGCATCTTTTCCATGGCTTCCCTTGCCACTTGTTGAACCTTTGGAGAAGTCCAATCCTCTTGTGGGCAGCCACAACAGAGGGGTTCATCTTGGAGCCTCATACTCCTCAAAGTAGTAGCACTCAGGCTCACCCAAATCCGCGCTCTCATGGACTTGACCCTCAGCTCGATCCTCAGCTCGATCGAGTTCAGACTCCTCTTCTCGCAAAACGTCTCTTGCCCAACCAATGTGTACACAGGGGGTCTGAAGTCAATGTTCTCACCCCTGACTACTGTGGTGAGCTCTGGGTTGGGCAGGAGAAGCTTGGAGGTCCAGCCAATGGATGTGTGAACTTGAATTGGATACCTCCCATCCAACTCCTTGTGCTCAATGAGAAGGTTGGTCTTGCAAAACTTGATGTCCATCCAACCCTGGAGTTGACAGCTTTCTTGTCAGTTGGGACTCCTGCTGCACAAAGATTGGTGTGATCACCCCTCCAACACTTAGTTTCCTTCCTCGTTTGACCTAGTGTTGTAGGCTGTGACCTTGTAGGCGAGGAGCTGCTCAAGGAGGGCATGAGTTTCCTGCATGTGCCCTATCTCCTCTGATCTTCTTGCCATCCCTTGTGCGTGAGATGATAGGCTTGATTCCCATGTCAAGGAGCTTGACTTCTCCCTCATTGATTGTTCCAGTGGCTTTCCTTGCAAAGAAGGTGTTTGCAAGAGCCTTGTGGACATATCTCAAGCATGGGACTTCCTGATCTGGGCAGCCTTGGACCTTGAGGAAGAGTACCCCTCTTCAGCGATTGTAGCCCAACTCTTTGGAGTTCTTCTTCCTTGATGTTCCATAGGTTACCTTCTCCATAGGTGAACCCAAACAGTATCTCAAGCTGCCTAAAGGTCCCTTCTTCTCTCCCTTGCCAAGAATGTATCCATCCCCAGCCTTGGTCCAACTCAGCTCGATCGAGCTCATCAAATGTGATACCTCATCGAGCCAAAAACTCACAAGTGAGCTCCTTGTAAGACTCCATGCGATGAGAGAAGAACTTCCCAATTGCATGTTCTTGAGCACCAACTCCACATCCTCAAAGATCCAAGGGCCTCATGGTGTCACATGTGGGTACTTGGTTCCACAAAGTCCATGGAGAAGAGAGCATTGTAGTGCTCTTGGTACATAGGGAGTTCTTCTTCCTCCTCTTGTGGCTCAGCCTCCTCCATGGCTCATCTTGGTTACCCTCTTGTCACTCTCATCAACCAATGGTTCACCTCTTCTCCTTCCTCTTCACTCTCAGTCTCATCACTTCCTCCATTGGAGAGCCATCCCCCTCTTGAACAAGGTTCACTCCAATCTCAAACCCCTTGTTCACTCTCACTACTTATGGGTCATTCCTCTTCTTGGTTCTCCTTTCCTCCCTCAACCTCTCACTCTCAGACTGCTCCTCAGAGTAGACATACTCCTCTGCATCAGATCTCTTCCTCTCTTTGATCTCACATCTCCAAATCGGCTTGCATCTTAAGCCTTTCTCGCATTCCCTTGCATTCTCTGCCTTTTGCTTTCCTTGTGAAGCGCGGCTTCCCTCACTGTTTGTCATCTTGAACTTGTTTCTTCACTAAAGTACCTGAAATGCATCAAAGATTCAAAGAATTAGAGTTGCAATGATCGGTTTGGTCAACTCGACACTCAGCTCGATCGAGTCAAAAAACTCGAGTGACAAACTCGATCGAGTTGGGTGAAAACAGAGTATAACCGAACCTAATTCAAATTAAGAGCTGAAAAGATGCTAATCAATCAAATTGAACCAAGAACACTAGTAAATGGAACAATGAGCAATTCTAGTGAAAACAAAGCATCTTAACCAATACCAAACTCAAATTCAATAAACAAGCACATGCAACAAGTTCTAGTGGAAAAACAGAGGTGAGGTGAGGCAAATTCACAAGATTATACAAATATGAAGCATAAAAGAAAGCAATTACTCAAGACAAGTCCTCAAGGGACACATGCAATCAAAAATCAAAGGAAACAAGCAATAGTTGAAATCGAGATGGAGGAATCAAGGGTTTTAGGGTTCATACCTTGCTTGAATGATGGAATTGAAGAGCAGAAACAAAACCCAAGCAAACAATGAAGAACAAGAGAAATCGCAAAAACTTAAGAGAGAAAGAGGGAAATTCGATTTTTCTTGTGGTGAAGAGAGAGAGAGATGGTTTCAGAAATTTTAGGGTGTGAGAGAGAGAGTGGATTCGATCGAGTTATGGGGAAGAGAGATGTGTGGTTGAGATTAAAAGGTGAATGAAAGGGGGAACAAAAGCTAGGGTTTTTCTGATCAATTCAGGAAGTGGGGGACCAAAATTAACTTGTGGGACCCACTCCTTGACCAAGAAAACGGTTAGAAAATTTGAAATTGAAAACTTACCTCGGTCGAGTTGTGGAACTCGATCGAGTTGCCCGGTTTCTAGCTCGATCGAGCTGTCGGTCGAGCTGGCTCTTTGTCACCTAAACTTAACTTATTGAAAGGTTAAAGACACAAAAATAGATAGAAATTGCATAAATAGAATATGTACAAGGATAAACATGGGACTTCCTCCCAAGTGAGCTTGTTTAAGGTCCCATAGCTTGACCTTTACCTTCTTAGGCATTGGTTGAGCTAGTCCCACCATCAAGGGTGATAGTGAGGACTTGAGACAGAAGCTCCTTTAGCTTGGTTGGATCCCTGGACTGTTCTGAAGTCACCAAGGCCTTGGCTCTAGAGAATGGCCTTGATCTCCCCTTGTACCTTATCTTGTACTCAATCTTCCCATTTTCAAACTTGGTGGGGAACAAAGTCATTGTGAGCTGAGATGGCTTGACTGAAGGGGCCTGAGCTGGTGGATCCTTTCTTTTATCACCTGGTCTTGCCTTAGAGGCTACATCCTCCCCTTCTTTTAGAGCCCTTCCTAGTGGCTCATCAAACAAAGCTTGAAGGCTCTCTTCATCAAGCACACAAGGGGCTTGAACAAGTCTTCAGCTCTTGGCCTATCAGAACGTGGTTTCTCAACTCTAGCCCTCTCAAGACGTGGCTTCTCAATCCTTGGTTCTCTCTCT